GATCCAGTGGACAGGTCCAGTGGAAGGACGGGGAAGAGAAAAGACATGTTTACATGTTTGTGTTAATCAGAAGGATTTCCCAATTTATTGCAAGCAACTATAGGGTAACTCTATGCACACAAGACTATATTGTCCTTTCACTCCCCATCAGAAGTGATGAGTTTTGCAACCTTATATATAGATTGTATTTCTTTGAAACTGCATTTTATTCAGAGATACTGATATTTTCCCCTTTACTCTCAGTTCTTTGTTTCCGTTTCCTTACTTGATGATTGATTTGATTCATATATTTTCTACATTATCTCAGAGTTCAGAAAGTCTTATTCCTAAAGTACAGGCTCTGCCCATTAAGCCATCATTTCCAGAGTGAAAATGGCTGATATGGCTAAATGTGGTGTTCTCTTAGGCAGGAAGAAAGAATAGTAAACACCCTCCCACAGATACATGGAAGTGATAATTAGAAACTGTTTGGTGTGGCAAGAGGACAGGGGAGGAATGGTGGCTTGCAAGCTTTCTTCCTTTTGTGCACAAACACAGTGCTATTCATGCCGAAACTCTCCTAATTTTACATAAAATTTTCCTCCCTTGAATTGGATGCCCAATAATTACAGAGACATGCTCAGTTTTCTTGGCAACTCTTTAAGCTATGGCTTAAAGAGCTTTTCTAATAGTAACTAGTCCTGAATATTCCAAATGGTTCCCCAAACAAAATATTGACCAGATTTTGCCTTAAAGTATATATAACCTGGAATCTGGAGTAATCCAGCTTATGTATCTACAGAAAAGTTCCCCACTGTTGACAATTGTGCTGCATCCATGATCTTTTGATAAAGATCAGACTATTTTAAAAGAAGTAATGCTGTTCGCTGCTTTTTATTGGCTGAGTTCTGTATGGCTTTGCTCACAGATCACTGGAAAATATATTTCTGTGACATGTGTATCCATCTTAATATTTATAATTTTGTGCCATTCTTGCATTAAAAGATTTCTAATTTCTTGAAGAATTCCAGACAATGATTATCAACTCAATTTTATTATAGAAATGGTGATAGCAATTTACTCTTTGTTCATCTCTGTAAATATAAAGGTTACTGCAATTTTTTCAACTTGCTTTTTTTCTCCAATTTCTGTCTCCTAGTCCGGGGAATAGCCATTTATCTTTTCAAAGTATGTTAAAAAATAAAAGGTAGAATGTATTAATTTTTTGGAGTGCTAATTTTTAAAATAAAATTAATATAAGAATAATTTTTGCAAAAAAAATTCTCTAATTTTAAAGGAAGTTCTAGTTACAACATCCATAATTACCATGTGTAGACCTGAAGTGTGAGAAATGGAATTATAATGTTTTACTCTAGTAACTTAGTGTTTCAAATGGAGAAACAGGAGAACATAGCCTTATATCCATTATAGTGATAATCAGAGATTCAGATATGTTTATGTCTCTCACGAGTTTTCCGTAGAGGTATGTAATCTGATTTATCCATTGTGAAAGGCAGTGACTGTATGCATGTTAATGACTGTATGCATGTAGGTATGTACGTGTGTTTGTGTGTGCACGCAAAAAAATACCATATAACCCACTTCATAAAAGGTGCCAAAACAACCAAATTTTAATATAATAAAATTAAGTTTTAAGATGCGAACCAATTTGACTCTAGTTCAGAGTTCCTTGAAGGAAATGTATCTGTGTATATGAATCTGCATTTTAAGATGAACTAGGTGCAACAGATGGCTGGCATTTGTGTTCAGATCATCCATGTGGGGATATAACTTCTCATTACCTAAAGATGATGACATGCCTCTTGACAGAGCCAGAAGCATCTATTGGTATATCACAAATCCAGGATTTTTAAGTCTTTGTACGACTTACTGGATAGGATCAGTTCTTTCAACCCAGACATGGGCTGATGTACAGAAGATGCAGAAGAGGCTGTAGTCAGACTTGGATTTTCTGTTTCTTCTCCTCTGGGTACAGAAGCTTTCTAAAGGTTTCTTTAAGGTATCTTGTGCCTATTTTAAGGCTTACAGTAAAAGTTTTTTTAAAAAAAAATAATTTTAATTAAGTAATAAAATAAAGATAAAAACTAAAAAAAACTAAGAAAAATATAAAAAGTAAAAAAGAAATTCAAAAGTGCACAGAAATGGGAACAGAAATTAAAAAAAAAAAACAAGAAAAAGGAGGAAAGTGTAAGTAAAGAAATGACTTCCCACTTCATGTTGACAAGTACAATTTCTCACCGTCTCTAACATTTCAACCAAAGATCTCTTCTTCCCATATTTCATATCTTATCTACAGACACATTATATATGTCATTATTCAATCATGATAAGCAAAAGTCCATTAAGAGTTATCAGAAGTAAAAGCACATAAATTTTAACCTTAATCAAATAAATCAGTTTCATAATTCTTTCCTTTTTAAGAAACATAACTTACTTTGTCTAAAAATAAAACAAAGTTTATTCTTCCCATATCTTATCGACAAAGAAATCTTTAAAGGCTTATGATTCAAACTTAGTCAAGGAAAACCCATTAAGATTAACAGCAACATATTAAAAATCTTAATCTTGAATACCTTTCAGTAGCATCCCACATTAATTTATTATAATTTTCTCACTGTCTCTTCTCAAAAACTTCTTCACAACTTTTAACACATACCAGAAATAACATTTGTATTTTAATAAAAAAAACAAAAACCCCACCCATCTCTTTACCCCATCATATTTATAAACAACTCTTCAAAGCATCACCATTCAGCACTGTACTTGAAGCACAGATGGCAAGACTAAAATTCTCTTACTTCAAACATCTCCCTTCCTAGAGAATGATCGAATGCTGGGAAAGGTGAAAGAAAAAAGTAGATGGACAAAGAGAAGCTAGGTGGATGGGCCCAGTTACATTGGTGAAGGATATGCCAGTAGAAGCATCGAAAGATCTGGTTAAATATGTGATATCTGGAAATGAACTTGGGAGACAGTAGAAGAGCCACGGTCTGGGCAATGGTCAGACAAGTGCCAGCTAAGTCTGATCTAAGTATGGTATATAAAATCATACATTACAATGACTTACCTGTCAATGAATACTTCAGCTTCAACCATAACAACACAAGAGCACCCAATAGATACAAACTCAAGGTTAACCGCACCAAACTTGATTGTAGGAAATACGACTTCAGCAACAGAGTGGTCAATGTCTGGAATACGCTACCTGACTCTGTGGTTTCTTTCCCAAACCCCCAAAACTTTAACCTTAGACTGTCTACTATTGACCTCACCCCTTTCCTAAGAGGCCTGTAGGGGGCGTGCATAAGCACACCAATGTTTCTACCATCCCTGTCCTATTGTTTCTTTTATTTTTCTTATATGTACCTATTTCATGTATTCATAACTATGTATATACTTATACCTATTATCTTGTAAGCAATTGACAAATCAAATCAATCAATCAATCAATCAATCAGTCCACAGAAGGGACATTTGGACTATTTTCTTGGACTGTCAGGATGAAAGGTGTACTTTCAGACTGGCAAGATTCTGTTAATAATAACCTTACAATAAAATTAGAACTGGTACTTCTGCATGTGTTTCTTGCCTGGACTACTTTGCAGAGCTGATAGGGACAGATTATCATAGAGAAAATCTATGTGGCTGCAAAGTTGATGGCACATAATCAAAAAAACACACAGACACGTACATATATATACGCACACACACTGCTCCAAAACATATTGTTTAAAAAGAAGGAAGACAATAGATTTCCTGGTTTCTCTATCAAGAAATAAGTACGCTAGTCTTAGCAAACTGTACATACATAAATATTTTTAATACTTAATATCCATGGTTGTTCATAAAGTTTTCATGATTTCTTACATTTTTTTTTAAACTATAAAATGTGCCATTTACAATTTGTGCATTCAAAGCAAAGATTAGAACATCATGCCTCACTCAAAACCCCACCAAAAATGGGGAAAATAATATGCTGCTTTGCAAGCTTTTAAAATTGTATGTTACAATGGTTTCTAAAATCACTCCAGTTTGTTCCTTACAAGGATATAGATTTATATGTAAGTTTAGTTTAAAATACCAGTAGAGTAGTTAAGTAAAGATTGTGTAATAGCTCTATAATGAGCAGTAAACACTGATCCTTCTTCAAACTGAAGCCCTCCGCTAGGTATCGTATAGAGTGATGGTCAAAATTATAAAATTAGCTGAAAAATCCAGGATGCTGTTTGTGGAGAAAAACTTTCTATTACTTAAGTCAAAGTCCATGGAAGAGATGCAAGCCTTTAACGGCCCAATTCATGTATTCCATGGCTCGTTTTCTTACTGACAGACATTTCATTTATTTATATGAGCAGGGAGGTCATGAAATCCTACTGAATTCTGGGTACTGAATTTGAAATATTGAGCTGAGGCCATCTTTTCATAAAGGTGGCGGGCCATTTGTATATCTAAGCATAGGATGGAAGGAACGTGCAAAATTATTTGAGAGGGTGCAGCTATAGTCCTCCTCACTCGCAGGAACCAAGCAGGCAAGGGCCATCAGAAGCAGCAAGAGAAGTTGGAGAGGAAGAGCTGCTTTCAGCACCCTGAGGAAGAAGCAGTGCCGCGGTCGTGACTCATGCCCCTGGTTTTCAGAACGGGAGGAACCGGAGCCACCTCTTGTGGGCCTGAAGAGAGAATCCAAAACAGAAATAAGCCAACACAACTCTGGAAAATGGTAGCTGGATCAGTGTGTTCCCCAAATACTATTTATTGTAAAAATATATGTGCATTCATAATTAGTGATTACAAATTTGCTGGATGTGAGGCTCAGAAATCCGATGCGTCTTTATTAAAAATTATCTTATATCTCCAATACTAGCAACTACAACAACCATCTGTCACGCTAATTTAAGATAGACTTTATCGTATCAATGTCTATTGATGCAAGTGATATGGCTTTAGAATACATAATTTTAAGAGCTAGATTGAAGGATCCGTCCGTTAACAATGTTTTTTAGGAAGCTGCCCAGATTTTTATTTAAAAAATGTTCTCGCAAGAGTACAGTAATATATCAATATACAATTAGAAGATATTATCATCCAGTTAAGTACATATTGTATATTATAGCCTCTTTTTGCACTGAATCAGCATCAAACCAATAATGTTTTTTCTCTTTTATTGTAGTATAATTTATAACCCTAGAAAAAAATTATTCAGCAAAACCTAAGAATAATTTTCTGCTTGCCATGACAAGCATTTATTTCTAATTTAGAAGATCTATCCACCTTTATATCTAGCAATTCATCAAAATGACTGCAGCATTGTTAATCTTAAAGGACGTGTTTATGTTCATTTGATTACTAGGGGGCAATTTAGGGCATCTCCCTAACCTTCCAAACATCAAGAAATCATGAATTGCTAAGTTTCACCTGACAAATGGAGACATGAATATCCAAAGCTGAAAAGTGATTAACTGTTTAAAATGCTAGGGCTAATTAAAGAGATCCAAGATTAAAAGCATAAAAGTTGCAGATTATGCACAAAACACCACCAAGGTTAAGAGGGGAAGTGGCATCATTTGGTATTTTAGAGCCTTGGATTATGAAAGTATTGAAAATAGATGGTACATTTAGCAACATCAGAGCATTCTGTATTAAAGTTGAATTAAACCCAGCCTTCCAAGACCTTAAAGAAATCAATTGGCCAAAATACACACAAAGGGAACAGGCAGTGCTACTTAATTTCTACCTGAGACTGTACATAGACTCTTGTATTGATAATACAGCTTTATTTTCATGGCTTTCACTTATTCCTAGCAATGTGTATGTGTGTACTGCTGTCCTCCTTACCATTTGCACTTAGTGCAGCAAAGAGCACAGGCTCTGATTACACAAATCTTTTGAAAAAAAGGGAGGTATGGATTGTATTTATATGCTAGAGTTAGGCACATACAGGTAACCCTCAAATTTCAAGTTTGTCTAGTGACAATTCAAAGTTACAACTGCACTGAAAAAAAGGGAAGTCGTAAATGGGGCAAAATTGACTTAACAAATTTCTCTCTTAGTAAACATAAAGTTTAGGCCCCGTGTTTGACATCTGCTTTTTCTCTCTCGAGGCTCTTTATTTATGGCCAGATGATATTTATTTTCCTTAAAACATAAAGAATGGGGTCATAAATTGAGGATTACTTGCATATGCCACAGGGATTGCACAGGGAAGAGTAGCAATTGGTTTTCCTCCATTGTAATGATTTTGCACTGCTGGAATACCTGATGCATAGTCCTTGTACTTAATTCCCTAAAATATTCAGAACTGAAATACTGGGTTCAAATCTGTCTTCATCTGTGAGTCTTAGCTCAGAGAACCTGGTTGCAGTCCCACAAATTAAGTTGTCATGAGACTCTACTTTCAGATTTTCATCAAATAATGGTGTTTAATTCTTTTAAAAGTAAACCATTTGAGATTTGTACTTTTGACTGATTATTGCTTTAAGTTATCTGACACTCTCTTTGAAAGTAGAATTCTAGGATTGTTTTTTTCTGAATACTGTAGAAATATTTGTTCTCTTTAACGAACATTTATTTTCTGAACCAACATCAACACTTCTTCCTGTTTACTTCTAGAAAGGCTGCAGAAATCAGGTTAATTCTCTGTCTTAGAACAGCAGGTAATGGAACAACTGGAGGAGGAATATGTAAGGCAGAATAAATAGAAGATCCAAAATGATTGAATAAGAACCTCAAGAAGTACTCAATAAGAAGGTAGTCAAGGTAACTGGAAACATGGGACACCTTCTGCATCAAATAGCATTTTATGAAAATGAACACCAAAATTCCCTGAATCTATTCACATGGTTATATTCTTCTTTGGATTATTATAATGCAAGTTAGACATTTTTCATTTTTCTTTTAAGGCTGTTTGTTTCTATTTTGCAATCTGATATCATACTTATTTATTTCTAAAGACAGTGATCATTTGTGTCCACCTTTGCTTTCATCACCCTCATTTTTCCCATTCAATTAAATTCATCTGATGTTGAATATGGCCATTTCCCAACTCTGTTTTTGATTTCTGCACGTACACCTCTTCAGATATCTATTATGCAATTCTTTTGTGAATCATCAAGCCCATGTTTGACATCTGCTTTTTTTCTCCTCGAGATTCTTTATTTATTGCCAAATGATATTTAGTTTCCCGAAAAAATAAAGATAAAGAATGGCAAGCCTTAACTTGCCAATGTGTGAAAACATTTCAGTTTTAATTGTTGAATTAATTTTTTTCTTTCTTTTCTTTTTCATTTTAGATTTGTAATTCCTTATGCTAGATTGTAAGTTGATCTCAGATGGTCTATCTGCTTATGCGGTTCATTCTACTTAAATTTAGTAGAATTTAATTTGTAATGATTATGATTTCAGTGGGATCTAATTAGGTTAGTCTGGATTCAACCGGTAGTTGTGTGGTTATTTCTTGCCATTGATTGCAAATCATAACAATATTCTGAAGCAATTTAATTAATGAGATCTGAACAATTCCACTGAATTGAATTTTAAACATTTAACAGATATTAATCTGATATAATTACTATGTATCAGGAAGAAAAAAACTAAAAGAACGAAAACATAGTACAGTGACCTAAATTGGGATTTTTAATGTTATAACAAAGACATCCAACTGTATTTTATACTTCTAGGAACAAAATTAAAAAGATAAGTTGAAATTTATAGTAAACTTCTCAATATAATAAAAAAAAATATATCTATATACCAAATTCTAGTTACTAAAATCTAAAAAGTGGGTAATGTTAGATTAAATAAATCAGTGAACGTTTTAGGGCTAAATACAGGCTTTCAAACTTTAAGAATGTAAACCTGTTACTTTTTAAAAAATAAATAAATAAACATTTCCCCAAATCCCTGATTTAGGAGGCAAAGATCTGGTGACAAAAATTTGACTGTGTTCAAGTTAACTTTTTTTTTTTTGTCTCATGGAATCCCATCAAGATCTTGTTATATCTCAGGTATATGCAAAAAAAAAAAAAAAAACAGTTTGAAAATTCATGGGCTTAACAATATCATTTTCTGATTCTGGGTTGAAGCCAGGAAAAACTTTCCGTGGACAGAAGATTCTTGTTCCACTAATTCTTTTTGTACTTCTTTAATGGAGAAGTACATGCTCTTCCCCGATTGCTCCTCACTGCCAGAACAGTAGCGAACAGGCTATTTCAGTAAACAGAAGAAGCAGCCACTAGAAAAAATTACTTTAGTAAAGCAGTTCTGGTAGGAACTCCCCTTGGGGCTATGCTAGTGAAATAAAAGCTCTAGATGTTGTATATGGAGGAATAAAGTCATTTGACATATGGGAAATCTAAGCTTTATGTGAACTCCTTTGCTTTGATAAATGCTGCAGAATTAATTAACTGCCCTGTTTGCCCAGAAATGCTTCCCTCCCATTTGTCTACATTTTTAAGATGCAATCTTTACCTATAATAGTTCTGATAATTATATATATCTAGCCAAATCACTTGAAGTAGATTAACACACATTTTGTAATTGTGAACAGCAAAACTGGGACTTCTGGACAATGCCACACACTAATGTGAGACAAAAAATGATTTCTGATTGCAATTTATTCTGGCCATATAATCATTGCCTTTTAAAAAATTATTTCCTTCAGAAGCTGGGAAATAAGATATCAAAAGTGAGATGAAAGAGCACGGTACTTGATGAACAGGTTCTAAGACTTCAGACTGGATCACTGGCACCAAGTTCTAAACAGGTAGTTTAAGACACCCTTTAATGTAAACACCCTGGAGAAAATGATACAATCACTTTAATCTTTAATTACATAAAATAGTTACACAGAATTAAATCCATGGCTAAATTCCAATAATATGTAGTTGTTGAAAGGCCAAATAGGATGGCATGAAACTGGTAGCTTTAGTCTGATCTGAGAACCAAAAGATTATGTTTGTAATGGACAAATGAGATGCTTTCATATTTATTCATCTAAATCACTGTCCGGCTAACTTAAAATTGTGTGGGTTAAATGACTTAGTTTTTAGTTCATAAGTCTATTCTACTAAAGATTGCTGATCCAGTGCAAGATCAAACACAAGGTGCTTAGATCAGAGGCATGTCAAAATATTAAAGGACACAATGACAGCCCGGCCCCTTTTATCAGTTAAAACTGCATTACACATCAACCACAACCTGTCTGGCTTATATGCTTGATTAACTTTTCTATTCAGTAGAAACCTATTTGTATTCCATGCTTGTCTGGATGACAAATTGGGTTTTGTGTTGCGCCGATGTTGTACTGCTAACAGATGTGTTAGTAAACACTGATGGAGAAAGCAGATCTGAGAGGACAGCATGGAAACCACAAGCCAGAATGCGGGCAAATTCCAAAGAGCTGCCAAATGCTCCAGAAATGCACCAGCTTGCTCACTATAATTCCAAAAGCAGCAGAAAAATGCTACATAGTTGTCAAGAGAGAAGGAAGAAAATTGGCCACAGACACAGTGTTTGCCTTACATCCCAAGCTGCAATTTCTCTATTTCCCTAAAACCATTATCATTCCTCAACTGCATCAATAATAGCACCATTTCTGTCGGGTGGGCCATTCTTTTGGAGTGGCCAAAATTGTGCAGCCTCAGAAAAAAAATGGTATACTGTATATCTTAGTTTGATGTTTGATTAAAAACAAAATGCAACTGAAAAGATAGCAGTTAAGCAGAAGGGCAAACGTAATGCATGAAGAAGAATGGTTCTATTTGCAAGGGATAATAAAAAGTGGAACAATAAGCAGATGGCTTGGTACATTTTCTGCCTTATTTGCCAGTAAAGTGGTTCAGTTATGCTGACAAAATTGTACCTTTTTTTTTTTGAAAAACGCTAGGCATTATGAATAATAAATGGTAATAAATGCTGGTTAGCATTCCTTACTCTTCTCCATGCCCCCACATTTCAAGACATTTTGCTGGGAAAAACGTTATATCTATCTAGGGATGGACTGCTGCCAAATGCTGAGT